GCTACATGTTTTGTTCTAAAAGTAAAAAACCAACCAAACAAAAAAACTAACTGTAAACCCCAGGTCACCAGACTTCTGAGGCCCGAGCCTTCCTGTTCCAGGTTGAGGACGGAATCAACATGTGCTCAGGCCTCGGCAGATCATGCCACAACCCCTTCAGTTGCACACAGACTCTGTAATCACTCACTCAAGAATAAAGCAGTGTGACCTGTGAAGTAATGAAAGACTACTGTTCTCACCAGGAATTATGGCATGCCAGCTTTACCGTAGACATGATTGGGGCAGTGCCACGAATGCAGGCCGTGCTGAGGCATGGAATGGACAGTTGTGCTTCTTTAGGTTTTTATATAAACACCCCCTCCCCTGGTAGAATGGTGCCCCCCCACCACAAAGCTTAGCAAAACCAAAGGGAATGTCAGCCAAGTGTCAGATTCGCAGGCCATTTCTAGTTTGCTAGCTGGCTTGACTGCCCCGCCTCAGGCCCAGGGCCTTCTGCAGTCACACTGAGCGGGTGGGACCCAGCGCTCCAAGGAAGGAGTCGTTACCTAAGGTGGAGGATCTGCCTGTATCACTGACATGTACATTGTTACCATATTTGGGTTGCAGGGTTTCAACTCCCTACTCTCTCCTTCATTAGTGTATAGAATTCAATAGCTTTATTAAAAAGAAGAAAATATAGAGAAAAGCTAAATGAAGTCAAATTTATTTTTTATTTTTATCAACCAACAAATAGGGAAAAATTTATACTGCTAATAAAGATAAATGACATTCCCTTTTTCAAAATTTACACAATGCCATGAAATTATCTAACTTTTAATAAGGGGAAGCTGAATTTGGTGTACGAACTTAAGAAGTAGTGTTATAAAAAATTTAATTTTATTCTCCTTCAGTTCCAGAGAGTTCCACTCCTTATAATATTTATTAATAACACCAGGAAAAATTAGGAAATTTCTTTTTAAGGTCATTTACCATTTCAACCTTCCTTTTCAAGTTTCATAAACGAACTACTTAAAATTCACTCTTGGCAGTCTCAAAAACACACACCACATCTCCTGGATCATACTCCTATAGTAAAATTCCAAAGTGAATCAGTTTTAATTTATTTCCAGCAGATGCAACACATATTTTATATACACATTTTCATTTAAAATTAAGGTTTTTGGCACAGAATCCCAGGCCTGTAGTTTTCAAATGGTGTCTCCACTGCTTTCCACCGACCAACTAGGGGGAGTTTGGAAGGAAACGGTGCTCTCATGCCTGGATCTTGTATGTATAAGCGCTCCCCTCTGCCTCCCACCACAGCCCATCAGTGTCCCGAGCCTTCAGAGCATGAGAATAAAGGCTAGAATAGTTACTTCTGCACATCGGTGGGGGAGAAGATGGGGGCAGAGAGCCGCTGCCAAGGTTCCTAAGCACTGTGTCTTTAAATTTATGCATGTTCCCCATCAGTAATACTGCGGCCACGCCTACCCTTTGCTGTACCTCCAGTGTGAATCCGTGGAGCTACACGAGTGGCTTAATTCATGTCCAAACCCAGACATTTAGAATCTTGTTCCAGTCACGTTTGAAAGACGGTTATTGTTTTTTCCAGAAAAACTGTCCAAGAAAATCTGCATATAAGAGACGGAAACTCAAGTCATCTTTAATGCTTATGTCCCACTGCTTGCTCTTCCTGCTGTGCTTTTAAAAGTACTCAGGTGAGTAGAGTCCATTTTTATATGAAGAATTGAGTTCCCCCTTTATTTAGCGGGGGGGGGGGGGGGGGAGTAAAAACTTACAAACTAGTGCAAAATAACAGATCTCCCACACTCTCCAAAGTGCTTCCTGCCTGAGTAAAAGTCAAACCTGAAGTCTAACCAACCTGTTAAACACTGAATACTATTATATAAACTTTCCATCTTGTCTGCTAAAGCCTCTGGAATCAACGTTCCCGAATGCGCTACAGAAACATTCCCAAGCAGATGGGCACAGATGGGCGTGAAGGGGACGCTCCTGCCTCCTCCTCCAGCATCTCACACTCTAACCGGCCCACGCATTTCAGCAGGTGCTGCACTGGCTCCCCGCCTGCCAGAGGCCCCATAGTGTCCCTCCATTGAAGCTGCCCCCCGTCTGTCACACCCACAGACGGGTGTCACCCACACAGCCTTTCTCTTTGCACCATTTACACACGAAGAGGCGATGGAATCCATATGTCACCCCAACACACATAGAATGAGGAACAAATAAAAACCAGCTGATTTTCATTCTTCCTGGGTGGGGCTCGGAGCTGTCCCCCAGCTGCTCGTGAGCTCAGAATGGAGCCAGGGAGGCTGGGCTCTGCACGACGGCCACCAGGAGCCCCCGACCACCAGGAGCCCCGGCCACCTGAAGCCCCCGGCCACCAGGAGCGCCGGCCATCAGGAGTGCTGGCCACAGGAGCCGCCGCTACGCCTCAGGAAGATCTTCAGAGTATTTTTAGGGCCATTCACTTAAAAACTGACCACAGATAAACATACTTTTTCATAAATAAAATTTGAGGCATATGCGTATATTAAAATTTTCACCGACAAGGGTGTGCTAAAAATGTCAAGTTCAGTCATTCAAGTTCAATGAAGGCACACATTTTTTTACTCAGCTCTGCAAAAACTACAACTGCTCACAACTCATAAAAGACATTTCACCGGACTTTTTCTTGTTGACTTTCCACTTCTTGGGATAGGCAATCGGCTCGTTAATCAAAGGCGTGACTCCACTCTCCAGGAGAGGATGAGGCCTGGGGGGTCGACCTGGGTCCTGCGTCTGTTTGGAGCAGTGACAGTGGCGCTGGCCGCAGGGCCTTTCCTGCTAGGGCCGCTCACTCCCCCAGCGAGCCTTGTGGCCTCCAGGCTCTGAGGCCCTTCGGACCAGCCTGGGGGGCGGCTTGGGTCGCTGGCTCTCAGTCGTGGGGCCCTCCTGCCCGGGGCCTAGCTGGCCATGGGGGAGCAGGGGCTGCCGCAGCGCGCCTGGGGTCTGCGTGGCCCCCTCCCTGCGGTGGGGTGCCGGGGTGCAGGGCTGTCGGGCCGCATCGACGTCCACCTCGTTCTTCCACTCCATCCTGCAGGCCTGGGCCGCTTTCTGTGAGAACTGCTCCGGCAAGAAGCGCCTCGTGCGGGGCTTCAAGTTGAGGACAGTGGTCCCGGCATCTGCGTCCGAGTCACTGCTGTTGCCACCTGCACAGAGCAGAAGGTCAGCAGGGAACGCGCTTCAGAGGAGGGTCCCCGATGGCAGTGCTAAGGGGTCTGGTGTGAGGCAGGCTCCCCCCCAAATCCCATTGAAAGCTGGGCACCTTCCTGGCCCCCAGCCCTCAGGCTACCCCCGGGCATTCCGCAGATGGCGCGGAGCTCTGACATGTGCCGGCACTGACCTCAGCTCTAACGACACCCACCTATGAACCTCCCCTCACGTCACCCATCTCACATGAAGGGACTGAGGCTCAGGGGTCAGTGTGGTGGAGTCTGTTGGCACCGAGAGCAGCCTGGGCTGTGTGCCACCTGCCCCAGGACCTGCCCCCGGACCTGCCCCAGGACCTGCCCCCGGACCTGCCCCAGGACCTGCCCCAGGACCTGTCCCAGGACCTGCCCCTGGACCTGCCCCAGGACCTGTCCCAGGACCTGCCCCAGGACCTGCCCCAGGACCTGCCCCCGGACCTGCCCCAGGACCTTGCCCCAGGACCTGTCCCAGGACCTGCCCTAGGACCTGCCCCAGGACCTGTCCCAGGACCTGTCCAGGACCTGCCCCAGGACCTGCCCTAGGACCTGTCCCAGGACCTGTCCTAGGACCTGCCCCGGACCTGCCCCAGGACCTGTCCTATGACTTGCCCTAGGACCTGCCTAGACTGTCCCAGGACCTGCCCTAGGACCTGCCCCAGGACCTTGCCCAGGACCTGCCAAGGACCTGTCCCCGGACCTGCCCTAGGGACCTTGTCCCAGGACCTTGCCCCTAGGACCTGTTCCAGGAACCTGCCCCAGGACCTGCCCCCGGACTCTGCTCCAGGACCTGTTCCAGGACCTGTCTTAAGAACTGTCTCATGACCTGGCCCAAGGACTTGTCCTCAGACCTGTTCCAAGATCTGCCCCAGGAACTCTTCCCGGGACTTGTTCCCAGGA